ACACCTTGAGAAATGTGTTAAGAACAATGGGGAAAATATGCATAGTGATATTAATGGATAATAATAATGGATAATAATAATGGATAATAAATGTGTTAAGAACAATGGGGAGAATATGCCTACTGACATTAACGGGTAAAGGGTTAAAAATCCAAAACGTACCTCCTGGTTGTGGTGAGTTCTAAAATCCAACGCCTCTAAGAAAAGTGTGAAGAGATTGGAATGGTGGGTTTTAATATCTTCCTTCTTCATGGCTTTCACACATTCTGCCAGGACATCCATCAGTACCAAAACACGCTCCTAACAAGGTAACAACATAATAGGTTATCACGAGCGATCTCAGACAACGTTCGCCTTGGCACCACAAACAATGTCGGATTTTTAACCAATCAGAGAATGGCACGAGTACCCGGGAGCTACAAACATTAACAGAAAATTAACGCAGATTGCAATTCGATAAAAGGTTGAAGCGTTGCTGTGGTAACTGATTTCGTTTAGAGAACACAACAAAATTGTTGATTGTGATTGGTAATGGCCCGATTTATGCTAGACACGGATCATCCGTCTAGGACGAGCTTGTGCAAGGAACGGTAGCTCGTCTGATAATCCGTCTGTGTATAAAAACACGGGCAACCAGTCAGATCATCTATCCAGACGAGCTATCGCGATAGTCCATCGAATTATCGTGGCTAACTCGTCAAGACGGATGATCCATCGCTGTGTATAAATGCAGGAAGAAGACGAACTATGCACGAAAACTACACCTCGTTACAAGAAGCCAGCCGTTGTTTTCATTAAACTATCAATTCAAGATGGCGGACAAGTCAAATGATGGTTCGTACAAGCCCAGAAAGTCAAAAAAAGAACGTGTATGGACGAAAACAGAAATGAAATACCTTGCGCTTGTGTTAGCAGAGAAGAAAAAACACTTGTGTCATTGCCGCCATTTTGAAATTTGCCGCTAATGCCGCACTAAGACATTTGACCAAGCCTTTTCGTTGTGCTTTCTCGGAAATCCGTTCAGAAAACTCGTCCAGTATAAAACACGGGACGAGTCACATGACACACCCATAGTTCGTCTCATAGTCCTTCACGTATTTATACTAGATGGATGATCCTACTCGACGGATGATCCGTCTCCAGTATAAATCGGGCCAATCTGTATCATAACATAGAGGTAAACTGCAAAAACCTGTGTCAAAACATTGCAAACCTTGTGTTTGTCGACGATACTGCTGTAGCAATCAGACACGGCCGATATCAACACCCGTGGTGCAATATTGCAAGCCAGCTCCTTCCTGAGAGGAAGAAAAGAAAGAAAAAAAAAGGGGAGGGCTTGGCAACACATTTCAAAGAAATCTCTCCCAATCAAATGCACTTCGTAGCCTACTAGAACAGTGAAAACGTAGGGTGGAAGTCTGGAAAATCTCTTCATAACCAAAGATACCTGAGCAAGACTACGCGATCCTTCAACTGTACATCTACAGTCGACTGCTTTGTAACCTCTTCTTTTTCTTGATGGGCCTCGGTAACCTCTCCTCCAGTAAGGGAAGGTTGCGTCACCTGCAAGAAAGTTAAACTCCCTAAGTTTGACAATGGCTACATTACAATCAGTAATCTCCTATATAGCCTCTGTGCAAGCTATCACCGTCATGTGGCGTAAAAACATGCTCCGATATTTGTTCGCGGACATTATGTGAACCGAGAAGCATATAGTCCTTATACGAGGATATTTTCAAGCAAAAGGGAGGCTATTGTGTTTTTTATCGTCCCTCAAATATTCTTTGTATTAAAAAAAACTTTTATAACCAACTCACCGTTGAAAACAGACATCGACCATTCAAATCGACTTTATGAACGCGCACGTTTGTGTGCTCTTCAATAACAACAACAAACGCCCCCCAAAATTTTAATTAACGTTTTATGGAAGACTTGGGTGGAACTGTACTCGAGGCATATAAATTGGGGAATATCAACTGAGGAATATCACTCGATATTCTTCAGTTTCAGGTGGACGATTTGCAGTCAGTTTCAACTGACCGGGCCATTGGAGGTCACGTGACGTGTTTCAATCAATCGCACGCGGTCAAAAATAGTTTATGGGGAGAGAGTACGAGCGCGAACAAACCTACCAAAATTAAAATATCAACTAGGTAAGGACTAAGAAAGTGTGGGAGTGCTTCGGTGGCTTTGTACAAAGCTGTTACACCACACAGAATCAACAGGCTGTTCCTGGTAGAGAAAAAAACAAGGGAAAATAAATAAAATTTTTCGCTTTACTTGTCAATAAAATCCAAACAGGGGGCCAGGAGAACCAACATATAAATCAATGTGTAGCAGACAGCGACTTGAAAATAATCATACATCACACAGATAGATGTCATAGTCTTATTAAAATTGTAGAACAAACTAAGAATCTGACGTTTTGACAAACATTTAACATTTACAAACATTTAACACTTTTATTGACGTCCTTTAGCAATTCATAGCGAAAGACTATACCTCTCTTTTTGAGTTATTTTGAGCAGTTTTAGGACGGAAGGCATCAGCTTTGGTAAGAAGGAAATGCAGCGCGTTTTAAGTCCACTGAGCACTTCTGCTGCACAGAGCAATGCGCTTGAGGCAACCTAGGAGTCAAAGGAATAAAACAGTCTTTCACTTTAAATATTTGTAAGCTTTGCTAAAAGGGAATCAAAAACCAAAAATACAAAATAATCACAGGAGCCAATCAGAACAAGAGAAATTATTACATGGAGCCAATGAGACTTACCTGAGCGTTGGAATCTTTGGAGGAAAACACATCAATAGCCACAGTCATCACCTACATCGAAACGAAATGTAACATCTCAGGAGTGCTAACTTGGGAGGGGGCGGGAGGGGGGATTGAGGTTCCATTCAAAATCAACTGTACGACAAAATGAAAAAAAAAATGATTGAAATAAGTTCCAGTACCTCTTTAAATTCGTCAGGGTGTTCCTTGGCCAGCAATCGAGTAAGAAGCTTTAAACTGTACAAAGCTGTCTGCCTGTTAATGACAGACTCTTCACTCTCCCCAGAACCTCTCGATATGGCAAGGAGTTCGGTTACTAAGTTCAGTAACGCCTTGATCTGTAAATAATGAAAGTAATAACAAAAGTCATGATTACATATTCATTCTTGGTTTCGTTTCAGTAACATGTCGGGTCAAAGCTCTCTTAACAGACAATTAAAATAGCAATATTATTCTCACACAATGTCACAACGGGGAACAGAATTTAAACTATAGATATTGGGGGTAAAATCACACGGGTACACTAACAAAAGTCCAGCAGAGCTGAGGACACTTCTTTGGTGTGATGTATACCGGGTAAAATCACAGTGATACGCAGACTCAAGTCCACGCCTGGGGCTAGATTTCGAGGAGAAAATTACATTACTTTGCTACCATGAAACAAATTCATACATGAGGACGCGACCTCGGTTTAAGATATTCGGGACAAAATAAGAGTGATGCACAGACCAAAGTCCACACCCGGGGACCACCCTTGAGTTCTCGATATTCACTGAAAATGTACATTCATGGGATGATACAAGTCCACCATGGTGGTACAGCTTCAGTCGGAGATATCCAGGGATAAAAATTACAGATATGCATTGGCAAAACTACTCAGAATATTGGGACTTCACTGTTTTACATAACTATCTGTTTTAAGTCGTTGTATATTTTCATTACACATCTACCTGTTCGTCAGAATGAGCTCCAACATCATTGCCCAGTTTACTGTTGAGTAACTCTATAGCTTTGCGCCTCACTGTTCCGTTGCTGCTGTGGAGAAGCTTTTCAATGACATTGAAAAACACTGACGCAGGTAAGAGGTGATTAACCTTGAAGAGAAGAGGACAAGAAATTTCATTATCCTCCTGGTCACTGTTTTTTTAAAAGAAGGTGAGACAGAATTTCATTACCTTGTCGATAATTTCATAAGTTTTATGCAACAAAGCCTTCCAGAATTTTCCAGTCACCTCAGGATTTGCCTGGTCACCATGTTGCGCCGTTTTAGTCATGAAGTTTAAAGTATCCTGTAACAGTCTACAGAAACAAAAAAAGAAAAGAAGGAAAATTAATATCCTTAGAAACTTAACCACTCTTACAACTGTTTCGAACGAGTGTCACAAGTTACCAGAATAAGTTTAAATTGATTTTCGGGAGGTAATGCGGTGTCCCGTCGGTTTTACTTGAATTCTTTCTGTGATTGGGCGAGAAAACTGGCGCCCTCCTCTCAACCAATCAGATACAAACTTATTAAAACCAATGGCGACATGTTCACTCAGTTTCTCCGCCCTTCAATTACTTATTTAAGAAGAATAAGAGGTTCAAACTGAAAGAAACCTTACCTCAGAAAGAGAGAATCCAACATTTCCTCTTCAACATGGACCTGCATTACATTGTAGGAAGGGAAACACAGAAAATAAGACATTGTTTCTACGAAAGCTGATAGCAGAAGCAGTGAGAAATTTCATCGCAGGTTGCAGCATGCAGCTGTAATTGAAAACGGTATATGTTTTTGGATTTGTATGCTTTAACTCAATATCACTCATCTGATTAATGGTTTGAGTTCAGGAGTTACAGTTGACTGCATTGTCTGATCGTCCAAGCGAGAGTAGTCTTAAAAAGAACTGACGTCAGTCGTTACTTACCTTGCTTACAAACTCGTCACTGTTGAGCAGAGAAGAAATAACACTGACTGATGTGTATTTGAATTGCCTGAGGTGTTTCGCTGAGTGAGCGTCCACATCAAACAGAGGCGTGACAGCGAGGAATACACGCGCACTTCTTCGAGCCATCCTGGGCTTCTGACGAACTGTGAATGGGACAAATAAGAAGGAAGTAAACACATTGTTAGGGAAAAGCATTTGGTGACTAATTATCACATAGACGAATTCACTGATAGGAAAAGCTTGATTATACAAGGAGCATGTGATTATGAGGCAATAACAAGAATGCGATAGAAGAACTGATGGAAAGACAATGAACAACTAATGGTAAGAAAAAAAAGAAACAACCGTACATAGACAAGGGAACTAATGATCAAACGAACGAAGGAACAACAAAAGAACGAAAGAAAGCCGGAAGGAACAACGAAAGAAAGAACAAACTAACGAAAGAACGAACGAACAAACAAACAAAACGACGAACGAACAAACGAGCGAAACAAAGGACGAACGAAAAAACGAACGAGAAACGAACAAAAGAACGAAACGTGAAACGAACAGAAGAAAGAGAGAAGGAACAAACTAAAAATAAGAATGAGAGTAAAACAAACGAACAGAAAACCAAAGGACGAGCGTAGGAACAGACTTTTTCAGGCCAAAGATTCAAGGACTTTTCACGGACTTTCCAGGACCCTACTTAGAAATTTCATAGACTTTTTTTAATGACAATTTTACCTCAAAACCAAGAAAAATGTTTCTATTAACATCTATGTTTTGGGTTTACCAAAAGCAGATATTTTTCGATGTTGTTCAATAAAAAATCAAGGACTTTCAAGGACCCAAAACGAAATTCAAGTACTTTCAAGGCCTTGAAATCGGCCTCCTGAAATTCAAGGGTTTTCAAGACGCGTACGAACCCTGGAAGGTGCAAAATGATGAATAGACGGCAAATAAAACTCAGCCAAGGAATAATGACCAACGAACCGATGTAAGCTCAGTTGCCATCAAGTGTCAGAAATGACTCAACTAGTGATTTTTTTTCTCAAGAGGAAAAATTCCTTCAAACACGGGGAATACACATTTCATCATCCACTTTGTGGCAGCTGATATAAACGCTTTCATGCCCGTGTACTAATTAACATAACTAAGTGAAGATCATCATGCTTTCGAAGTTTACCTTCAGGTTTTTCCAAAGGCAACTGATCAATGAACTGCAGGAGTTTCAACATGGCTTCTACCTGCAAACAATAATGCTCTGACCTCACTTTGACAGTTATGAAACCTTTGCTGTTGGTACAATTTTTTTGGCTTTTTTTCACCTCATCACTGAAAAATCACTTTAATTCCGAGATAACCTTCCAGTTACGTTGTCATCAACAGATTTTTTTTAATACCTTGGGTCAATTCTTTAACAAGACAAGATTTCCCGCTTCTTCACATCATGCTGCTCCTATTACAAGGTATTCTTTTAAAATGCTGGTTTTGCAAGATACTTTAATCCTGATTCTCAATCGTATAACTAATTTCTACACTGCATGGCTTTTAAATCTCTGTACCTGGACATTTACTTGGAAGCAATGGCAAAGACTTAGACAGAAGTCTGCTCCGAGAGGCTTTTTAGCAACGGTGGTCTGAAATACAAGAAATATATGTTAGAGAGACGTATTTGTTAAACTTTCCTAACTTTTCACTTTTCATTGAGATTTTAATCTGCAAAAATCTTTTAGTGTGGTAGGATTCATGTCAGTATCTGAGCAACAACGCACCTACCCCTCCCTAACCCAGCATTAACTTCACTTGTTATCAGTTGATTGTTGTTGGGATAGGGGAGGGGTAGGTAAGTAGTCACCCTGTACATGTCACTAACGACCCTCGCTTTGGACTGCAGCAACAGTGGGACTATGGCAAGGTAACCTTTAATTGCATAGTGTGTCTGATTTTTCACCGAGGGGGAGGGGGGTAGACTTGAGAAAGACATTTGCTAATAATCTCAGACATTGACGTTTCACAATCTCAGAAGTTGACGTTTTACAATTTCACAACTACCTGTTTATCATCAGACGTGTTTAGACTATGCACAACATGTTTCTCCAGTAAAAGAATGATCGCTGAGTGAAGGAACTGTGTTGACCCAACAGTGTCAATGAGATGAGCGAACAAGGGAAGCTGGCGGTGCTCTGGGATGTGTGGTGAAGCATCTACAAATACTCTGATCAGCATCGCCACAATGTCATCCAAAGACGCGGAGTCCTTTTTGGTCAGCTGTGGGAACTGCTGCTCCTCACCTGCCTAAATGGATTGAGACGTGGATCAAGAAATGCTACATGGGTTGTTAAAAGTAATCCAAGATTGCAAAAGGTTTACATAACTTCGCTTTGTGACCGGTGTAGAAAACTTGCAGCATCGTCTAAGTCACGCGCGTTTCACCCTCTAACCCACTCGCGTTTCATCCTCTGACCCCAGCACGTTTCGCCCTCTTATTCCCACGCACACCACCCTCTAAACCCCGTGCGTTTCACCCTCTGATCAACGCGCGTTTCACCCGCTGATCTACGCATGTTGCACTCTCTGACCAACGCGCGTTGCACCCTTTACCCCACGGCCGTTTCACCGCGCTTCTTTAGATTTCATTATATTACATTTGGATACTAAAATATTCCCTCTGACATTCACCTTTGTCGTATCAAGCCGCTGTAATAAATTTGGTCTCCATTTTACGACAATCGATCAAAAAGCGTTTCAGCGAATTACATGATGCTTATACATAATTCACTTTATACACACAACTGAAAGAAAATGAGGTTTAAACAGACCGCATATACCTGAATCAACGCAGGAATCACTGTGTCCAGTGTTTTAGTGATGACTTCAAAACTGTAACTATCATCCTGGCGGACGACACTCGCGCCCATGAAAGTGAATATGGACATAACATTGTGCAAAACTTTTTCCTGAAAAGAAGCATCCAAAATAATTTCTATTAGTTTATTACAATCAAATTTTTGGTGGATGCGAGAGGATGACGGAGAGTTTGAGCTCGCACAACTATTAACACCTAATTTTGAATAAAAAGTCTGCATAGGAGAATGACTAAAATAGCTACCCCACCTCATCCTACTCTCTGTAGCATGAACGGCACAGGTGTAATTCAACAATTTCGGTTTGGAATGTTACTGTGGCCTTGTGTCGCCTTCCCCTACCCCCTTTGCATTTTGTCAAGTTCACTTTAAAATTCGCCGGTACTCATTTCTACTCTTGTGTGAGGAGTATAACTGTAAGAGTAGAGTGTCTTTACAAAGCACATCTACAATACATTTACCGGGAAAAGATGGGCTGAGGTTGCAAGTAGAAGTAGAGCCTGGGTATGAGTGCGCGGGTTCTCTGAAGACCTTATGCACTGCACTATCAACTCCACGTCAAACTGGTCTTCGGGAACGAGATCTGCCACAAAACAAAAGACAGTGAGCAAATAACTGCGCTAGAAAATCACTGGTAAACTGGAATTTCGAAACCAAATCGTTTGAGGACTCAGAGTATGGACCTCGTGTAACAGTTTTGCGCAAATGGCAATAATAGATTTCCACACAAAAAGTAATAGCAACGCTCAACAGAAATTGCGGCGGATGTTACTGCGATTTTAAGAATGACCCTTCCCATTATAGCTGTCCATATAATTTGGTATCATCAGTAAAGTTGATGATGTGAATTGGCCAGCGTAGAGAGATTCTAAAGCTAACATTTCGAGCATTAGCCCCTCGTCTTTCGATCAGACGCAGGGCTAACGCTCGAAACGTCGGCATTAAAATCTCTCTACGCTGGCCAATTCACATTATCGACTTAGTTTATGAAAACACTTAGTTTATGAAACCAAATTTTCTTGTAATATCCCCCACCGACGTAGCATTAAATTTTACTTTGAAAATTACTCCCCCTTTTCTCGTTAACTGCTAACTCCTTGATTTCCTTGCCAATGACTCCCAACAAACTAAAATGACGGTAATTCCTAACTGTCTTCCCTTGCAACTCTCAAATATATCTTGATTTTAAGTTATTGGGTTGCGTCCTTAAAACTCACAATGACATCAAATTCTTGCTAAATACCCCAAGGGTATACAACGTGCTCCCCTTCATTTTAGGACTCCTCCCCCCTCTACCCACCCACTTCCACACCCGTAGTGATGGCTTCTATTACCTGCAATAGACGCACTGCTATTTGGAGAGAGTTTTTCACAGATTTTGTTGATAAGAGAAAATACCAGCTGCATAATATACTCTGAAGCTGTTTGACTGTGATCGAGTTCCACACACCTACAAGGGAGAAAAAAGTGAAAAAAAAAAAACAAACATTTTAAGACAGTCTTGATGCCAAACTGAACATAAACCATCTGCGTGATGGACAACAAACTTCCGAATTTTGTTTTATTTTGTCAGGAATTACGTGTTTATCACACCATTGTAGACTTAAAAACGAAATCGACAGACATCTGATGCGAAACCTTCATGAAAACGTTCAAACAGTTGGTATTCAAGCTACAAGCAGACCAGAAGCTTTACTGGAAGTTTTCGTCATTTAATACATATTACGAAGTGTGTGTGGAAGAGTAATCTTTTCATTTCCGTCCACCATGTAAAGCAATAGATGACTATACGGGGTGTTTCTGGTTACATATATTTACGAAGTTTTCTCTTTTTAAATGTAAGTGCAGTTTGGTACGTGTACCTGGCTAGAGTCCCAAACAAGGTCGGTAGAAGTCGATGTGGTTCTTCAATGTTAATCTTACTCTGTAACAACTCAAGAACAACTGTCACTCTTTGTAGCTGCTCTGATCCTTCATTCTCTTCATGTTGCTGCTCTTTGCGCGCCCTGTCAAAGAACATTAATAACTCGTGGAACTCATGCCACCGGCACAATAACTCAGAGTTGTGCACACAACATTAATCAAAATAAATCAAAGGCTTATGGTCACTTACTTCTTCACTTTCTTCTTCTTCGGTTCTTTATCTGTATTACATTTCAGCTTGCATAGCTCTTCAGTAATCAGATCTGCTGTTAAAGTAATCTGCACAGAAACCAAGATCGGGTTAGTTAAGATTTTACAAGTACAACTACGCGCACATAAATAACCCAAAAAAAAAAAATGAAAGTTTTAATTTCAGAACGCTCGTCATGAAACAGAACGTTTCTCAATTGAACGCCCAAGCTGATTTGCGACCGCGAAACCAGAAGTGGCTTTAGCTCGAGTCTTAACGGGGAAATCAGATTTATAATTTAATCTCACTCTTGCCAAGAGCTTTTTAAACACTGTACCTTCAACAGAGAATTCTTGGCAGCATTTACTATGGCAACATCCTTTGTTTCAAGCATCGTGTCCACAAAATACTTCAGCAGATGCTGTTTCACTCCTTCTGCTGGGATTGCTTGGAAGAATCTATTTGTAATCTGAAATAGAGGTACGAAATCAAAACAAAGTGTTTGAAATAAGACAAAAGCGTCCGACAACAGATAAAATGTTTTTTATTCAATTCCTCTTAATCTGACTGAGGCGTTCAAAAATGAACGGGAATGTCAAAATCTGACGGAAATCTCCGAAAAATCGGATGAAACCGCCCGAAATAAAACGGAACTGACCATATCACAGCTATTTTAAAGAATCTACATTGGCTGCCAATCGAAGCAAGAGTTAATTTTATGATATTACTTATAACTTATAAGATCTTAAATGAGCAATCTACTAGTTATTTAGAACCTATTATACAAGAATACCACCCATCAAGAACACTGAGATCATCAACTCGCTTACAGTTATGCATCCCACCTATTAAATCCAATTCCTATGGTGGACGCGCTTTTTCAGTATCTGCACCGAAACTATGGAACTCAATTCCCGAATATATTAAAAGAGCGGAAACAGTAGAAACATTCAAAACTAGGCTTAAGACATTTTTGTTTAAAAAACATTACTGTTAATTAATTACTTATTCTTATGTCTTAATAATCTGTTGTTAGGCGCATTGAGATTAGAAATGCGCCCTATAAGCATCTATTTATTATTATCATTATTATTCAAGTTAGGGGAACAAATCGTTGTAAAAATAAGGCTCTTATAATAAAGGTGTACGATATCCTATTAGATGTCTTAGAAATCTAAACGACTGTCGATCGTTTCAAAAACCATACTAAAGTTCATGTAAAGCATAATAATACGCTCACACATAACCATCTTTTGACACTGTCTGTTTACAGCTAAAAAAAGGAAAAAGGGTCAGGAGACGAGAAGGCATTCGTGCTGCGCTGAGCGTTCAATA